CAGGTGGGATGGCCAAAAGGTGAGACGAAGATGGGCTGCAGGGACCCAGATGGAGTGGTCTGGGCAGGAAGGGGGCGTAATTAACAGCTGCCTGTAGGGAGGGACAGTCCCTGAGACAGTTACCTTAGCAACAGGGGCAAGTTATCTTGATGAGTGGAGGAAGGGCTCTAGCATTTCAGTCTCTCCCCAACTTCCCAGACCCAGATTGGCCTCCTTGATCTGACCTGACCTGATTTACCTTTCTAGACGGATTGCCTCGTCCACTTTTGGCTTCACACTAGGATATCCAAGAGGCTCCGCACAGGAGGGCCTCAGGGTGCAAGGACTGAGGCCAGGTAAATTGAGCACAGGGATGGAGAGGGTCCAGGGCACACAGGCGTCCTGGGCCCAGTTGCCGGGGAGACAGAAGGAGAGCTGCCATCTGGCCCATCTCTCCTCTCCCTGTAGGTCCCAGAGGGTCCTGCTCTCTGCAGACCCAGCCCCTTTTGAAAGCCGGCATGAGAACATTCGTGTTATACAAATCATAATTTTAGCCAATGCACTCTAATAACCAGGATGTTCTCAACTAGCACTTTCTGAACGTGTGCAATGACCTCTTGTCCTGACGCCGGTGTGTGGCTGGTGGTGTGGAAGACCTGCCACCATGAGTGTAGGGGCCTTCAGTGAAATGCTCTGGAAGCAGCGGCTTCATCATTGGACAAGGTTTTCTGGTGGCATTTTGAGCTGCAAGATGGGACTCGAGCTGCTGGTCCTGTGCTGGCCTCTTCTTCCACTGGGGTTTTCTCCACCACCTTTGGTCTGGCTCCAGCTGACTCAGGGTAGTCTTAGTTTCCACCCTCTGGCCACTCTCATCCCAGGAGCCTGGCCTGTGGGGTGGCCAGAAGTTCACTTTGACAACATTCTGCTCCATCTCCCGGGAACAGTCTCTCGTGCATCCTGAGATGTGGAACTTCCCCGAGTTTCTGCATAAGCTTCATGACGGTTACATTGCTAGTTTTGTTTTGATTTCTGATTCTAAAATTAACGCTTGGGTGTTGAAGACAAATTGAAAAACACAACATTTCAAGAATGAAAATCTCTTGGACACTCACAACCCTGAGGAAACCACCACTGGTCGGCTGTGGCCCTTGATCTGACCTCTGAGGAGCACCTCATGCCCTCAAAGCCACCATGCACTTGGCACCCCTGAGGACGCAGAGGTGCTTCCCGACCTTGTCCAATAATGAGCCCTCAGCAAGTGCCTCATGCTGCAACTTTTTAAAATTCTTTTTAGGGTTAAAGAAAGCTCCATTCGTTCAGGCCCACAGCAGAGTCAAGGATGGCCCACCAGCTGTCAGTGGGCCTGTGTCTCTGAGCACCCGGTACCTGCTGGTTCTAATGAAAGGGAGAAAGAGGAAGAAGAAAGGAAGGAAGGTATGAGTGGGGGAGAGGAAAGAGGGAGGCAGGCGGGCGCAGGCTGAGCTCACGTGGTTGCTGAAGACACCCAGCTCTGGGCTGGACCAAGTGGCCTGGGAACCCCAGGATGCCTGTGGAAATGATACCGGACAGAGGGAGGTGTCCAGTGGAGGTGGTGCCTGGCACAGCCTCACTCTGGAGCCAGGATGGCCCTTGAGGTTGTCCTGCCCTGGCTCTCCTAGTGACCAGCCACTGGGCTTTGGGTGAGTCAGCCCCATAATTCTGTGCCCTCGGGCGATTCCAGAAGGACCACAGCACTCCCAGGAGTTGGCTCCAGGAGAGGTTCATGGAAAAAGCATCCGGACAGAGTGCCCCTGGACCGCTACACCCCTCGCTGGGCCCCTCCCCAGAGCTCTCCTGTGGGCCTCTGGTTTCCTCCTCTGGCCTGGGTTTGTCCCCACCCTTGGTTGGCCTCAGAATACTGCCTAGTCCTTTCCCCTCCTCCAGCCTCCCTTGGACACTCTGTTTGTTACGTTCCAAGTGGAAGTGGACAGATCCCAGGAATCCAAGACTGGTCCTGTTCCTCCTTCCCTCTACCCAGTGGGATCTGGCCTGGAGTCCCTGAGCCTCTCGGTGTCTTCCAATATATTGCAATGTCCCTGAGCCTTCCCATGCAGCCCGCAGCCTGGCCAGCATGCTGGGCTCAGGCCTCTCCACCCTCCCCCTGTGCCCCCAGAGCCCCCGTGTGCCCTGCTTGCTGAAGGGTGCTGTCCCCGTTTGGCTGAGGGGTCACATTGGAAGGTGATGCTTTAGCTCTAGCGGTGGCTCACTCACCGACAGTGACCTCTTGTCCTGCTCTTCCCAGTGCCGTGTGCTTCAGCTAAGCCACCTCCTCCCATCCATACTGCCTTTGAAAATGTGTGTAATTGGAAAGAACCTCTGCTAAGCAGAGACACAGACGCTAATGTTACCTGAAATGAAGAGCATTTAGGGTACGACTTCCTCAACTATGCCCCAGAGCAAGACGCCACTGATGGGGCAAATGAGACCCAGCAGGGGGCGGGGCGGGCCTCCTTGGCAAGACTCCCTCAGGTAGGAAACAAAACTTCCTTTGTGAACAGTGGGCCACAGCTGCTGGAACTCTGAACAGTCCTAGAGGACCTCTGCACAAATTGTCAGAGCACCTGGGCTGAAGGGCTCTGTCTTGTCCACTCATTGACCTGGTCACGTCTTCCTGGCCTGGTCATTTCCAAGCAGGCTCAGCTCTATGTGGACTCAGACTGTGGGCTATTGTGTTGGGTCCCTCAGGCCAAATCTGCCTGCTACCTGCCTGGGGCCTCACCAGCACAGCCTCCAAGACCCTGCCTCTGGGTGGTAGATTTTCTGGCCCCGTGTCCGGGTATCAGATGGACTGAGCCAGGTGTCCCCTATTCTAAATGACTCAGGAGACTCCCCAAGAGCTCTCCACTGCCTTCCCTCCCTTCCTGATGATTTCCCTGGCTTTAGGGCTTTCCCTCTTCTCATCTTTATCTAAGATGGAGATTTTGACTCTAAAGTCCCAGTGAATAGAACATGGGATAGAGAAAGAAGGAAATGATCAAAATCGTCAAGTGTATTGTTGGGACCTTGAGGCTTTATCTGTATGATGTTCCCAGCTTTCTTCCAGCCATCACATTCTGTGACTCGGTTCTTATGACTGATTAAGAAGTACCATGCCATTGACATTGAGCATTCAGGCTGGGATGGGATTGGAAGGTAGGGTACCATTTAAATCTGCCACAGTCTACGAAAATGAGTTTGATGTGCTAACAGCTCCTAACCCAAATGGAGGACATTGATTACGCTAATAAGCTATTAAATGGAGTAAGATTAATCATGTCAGCTTAAATTTAGCCTATTTTCTAGGATTGTAGCACATTAACCACAGCTCCACACTTGCATTTGTCTGCGTGCATTCTGTCCGTGCAAAAAATCTATAAAACTAATCCAACTGGCATAGAAAGTTTTGTGCTAATAAGGTTGCTAATGGAGCTAAGGACTAGGGTTTAAATAACTAACATTGAATGCAGAAAAGAAACATTTTAATTATTTAATAGGGCATGAAAAGGAATTCCAAAGTATTTCTACAGAAGCAATCCCAGTGGGTATAATTTTGGTCCCCAAATTTTATCCTTATTCTTTGAAGATGATGGCCTGAACTTCTGATTTCATTGGATTAAAGGAGTTGAAATTCTCAGGGGGAGGTGCTAGGAGAAAGTACTCATTTAGAGACCAGCAGGGGAGGCTGTGTCCCAGCAAAGAGAGACATTTAGGGGGAGATGAGGTGTCCCGAAGAAGAGATGGAAGAATTGAGATGAGGAAAAACACATCTTGGGACAACCCTTGGGTCCTTATAAATAATCATGATGCTCAGCCTCTTGGTAGCGTTCTATAATTTATGGGGCACTTTCCTATATTCCTTCTCATCTGTTTCTCATTAAAACTCTTCCCAGAAGTTTTTGTTCTTGTTTCACAGACAAGGAAACCGAGGCTCAGAAAAATGATAGGCTGCCCACGTGGTCAGCCATGTGCTCTATTCCACCCTACTCTGGGGTGTTGCGGGTTCCTGTGTCACGAGAGTTCTAGCCGTGGGTGCCATTTGTTCCAGAAGGGCATCCAGGAAACAGGGTGGGTGTGGGAGGGAAGGTAGTCTCCAGGAAGCTCCTGGTCTTAGGGCTTGTGTTTTGGATCTTAGCATTATGATATTTCTCTAGATTGTTCCAGAAGTGGGCTCCTGAATGCTGAGGAAGGACATTCCCCCTAAGCTGACCAGAACCTTGGTCTACATCCAGGAGCAGGAATCACTCAGTGCACAGGAGAAAGTGCTAACAGGGCACATGAGACCTCTCAATTTCTGGGTACCTCAGTACCACCATGATCCCCTCTAACAGGCATCCTCATCCCACCAGGACTTGGGCTGTTCCAGGGCCTGACCTTGGTCAAGTTCTTACCTACACATTTGCTGCCCAGACCCCTAATTCAGGTGCCCCTCCCAGGTGACCAAGTACAGGTTGAACATCCCTAATCTGAAAGTCTGAAATCTAGTATCCTCCAAAATTAAAAAATTTCTGAGCACCAACAAGATGCCACAAGTGGAAAATTCTACACCCTGAAACTTTGTTCCATGCACATGATTATTAAAAATATTGTATAAAATTACCTGCAGGCTATGTGCATAAGGTAAATATGAAGCATAGATGCATCTCATGTTTAGACTTGGGTCCCATCCCCAAGAGATCTCATTATGCATTTTCAAATATTCCAAAATATGAAAGAATCCCCAAATCTGAAACACTTCTGGTCCCAGACATTTTGGATAAGGGACACTCAATCCATATTTGCATCCTCTGAAACCATCTCAGAAGTACTTTAAGGACCCCAGGGACAGCCCATGACCTTCCCCTCCGAGAAGCCTGGTGGAGAGGCATATAGCTGTAAGCCTCACCTACACTCCCATGGCTTACACTTGAGAGGCAAAGCTTTCTTTCTGGTATATTCTATTTGGCCAAATAGTTCTTTGGGAAAGTTATCTTGTGAGTCTTATAGACATTACATAGTTCTTCAAATCGTGTTGATACTTACAATTAAATGCCTTGTTGGATGGAATGTTCTAGAATATGTGCTGACTTTATTGAAGGTTACAGTACTTGAAGCATTTTTGTTCCTTTTGAATCTTGGGCGTCAGAATCATGTATGTGGGTCTTCTTCTTCAGGCACATCTAATGCCCCTACTTCTCTCTATGGTGAAGAAAGGAGCTGGCGGAGTGTTCCAGCATGTGTGGCCACCATGTCATGCTGCCACCGCATGTGATCTCCGTGGAGCAGGTAGCATTGAAGAGAAAGAATAGCAAATGTATTTGTGAATATAAAAGAATATTAGAGATGATTTATCTCTTGTTTCTCCCAATTAGGTTCTAGAATCCCTCTACAGAGGCAATTTAGGAATTCACTCACAAAAGGTCTGGAGCTGGAAAATCACACACAAAAAAGGTCAGCGGCTTGGGGATACGAAGATGGTGTAATTTTATCTGAAATCATCCTTTAAAAATTCATCTCAATGTGAGAATTATTTTGTGGCCTGTGTGTGTTTATGTACAGGACGATGACGTTCACGGGGAATTTAGCAATGTCGGTAACCCGAGTCACAGTCCACAGCACTTCAGAGATGTGGAATCTCCAAGGTCAGCTCTCTGTCTTGAGGTGCATGGAGAGTGTCTGTGCCTTCAGGGTGTGGAGGGTGCCGAGGCTCAGGGAGAGGCTCCCATCCACAGCTCTGGCCTTTGGCCTCCTGTTATCGTTGCCATCCTTCTGCAAGCTCTTCAGGTACTGGTGGTGATCACTTGGTGACAGCGCATTGCTGGCGTGGGATGGCAACCAGGTGGTCTACCCATTAAATCCCTCTGGACTGCCCTAAAAAGAGGTCCAAATACTTTCATCCAAAGCTGCCTGCATGTGCTCTGTTTTTGGACCTGTCTTTGACCTTGGCCTTTTGCTCCCCACCTGCATCCACGCAGAGCCCCTTGGTGGCCTGGAGCCTCTCTGCCCTCTGAGGTGGCTGTCTTTGCTCTAACTGCTCAGGCCCTCCCTTCTGCCTGTGCTCCTCCGTTTCCTTCCTTTGCAGCTGAAGATCTAGTTGGTTCCACTCCTTCCTAAGGCCTGCGTTGAGTCCCGTTCTCTTGGCCTTCTGGCCTTACTCTAATTTGTTCTCACTTGTTTTGTCACTTACTGGGACCCTCTGGACTATGAGTTTCAGGAAGATGGTGCCTGAGGAAGGCATTTGTTTGTTTTTGTTTTCTGACTTCTTGTCTTGCTTGGCTTTGTCAGGAGCAGCCTCTGCAGATACGCGGAGTAAGTCCAGGGGTGCGGATTGAGATGGCCCAGGGCCACAGGCCACGGAGAGGGGGCTCATTTCAGGGCCACCACTGTATTTCAGAGCATCCAGCTTAGTCCAAGTCCGATGGGGCAGAAGGAGGGTAAGCCATGAGGACGGTGACCTTCCAGGTCTTGGAAGATCCCACGCAGGGCAAGACAGGTTGGGCCAGCACTTGGCTGGAGTGGCACCCGAGGGTTACACCTGGGAAAAGGTAACGGTGGCAGGTGCGCAGCAGGGTGCAAGAGGAGGGGTAATTTGGTCAATTTTGCCCAGTAAGAGCTTTTCATTGGTGACTTCCTCTGCTCCGTGGGGCACAGGTTTGGGGCCCTGGCGTTGGAAACGTCTCTGGGTAACTGTGTCTTCAGTGAGTGGTGTCTGACTTCCGTGGGTGTTTTTAAGGCAGAGTTCGCCTCTCACCCTTCCAACTGTTCATTCACTCACAGGTTCAACAAAGCTGTGCCGGAGTGGTCGCCAGGCGGTGGGGAAGAGGCAGATGGAGCTTCCTCCTCCTGGAGATCACTGTCCTGTGGTTGATACGGACATGGTGACAGACGGCAGGACAGAGCTCCTGGGAGACAGATGAGGACCTCTAATCCACCCTGGGGAGGCTGGGCCTGGGGACGGCTTCCAGAAGAGATGGCATTTAAGCTTAATCTTCAAGCTTGGGCAGGGAGGGGGCCACGTGGAGGAGTCATGGGAGGAGGTCACAGCCGGCCAGGGAGGTGCTGTGGCTCTGTCTGCTGGGCTTGGAGCTGCCTCCGTAGGGACAGCAACAGCGGGAGGCAGGATGGAGGCCCAGCCAGGGGAGGCAGGATGGAGACTTTGAGGCCAGGTGGAGGGAGGGACTTGGTTTTGTCCGGCATGTCTGGAAGACCAAGGAAAGTACCTGAGCAGGGCGTGGGGTGAGGGGAGGGTGTGAGGAAGGCTCTCTGGGCAGGAAGTGGGGCTGTCTGCAGATGGATCAGCAGCTCTGCTCATGCCAGGGGCTTCACAAGGCAGCTCCTGAAGTGGACGGCCTGGTGAGAAAGGACCCATGGGCTCACAGAGGACTCACAGACAGGACGGTCTGCACCTGGGTGGCACACACCTGCCCCAGGGCAAGACAGGGCTGGGTTAGGAATTTCCAAGGAGTTCCTGAAGCAGACACTACCAGCTCCTGGTGGGTATTTCCCAAGGGGAGCGTGGCTTTGGGGCTTATCTGAGACACTGTGTCTTTGTGCTGCTGTCAGTGTGGGGAAGTCATCCCGAACCCAGGCCTCTTCTTCAGTTCCTCTCTACCTCCCAAGAGCTCCTGACTCCTGGTACCACTGACTCATGCCTGGGGGTGGCTGTGGGCATGCAACACCCAGGGGCAGGGGACCTGTTACCTCTGCAGAACGGGGAGCTTTCCTGTAGATGGAGCTGGGTGGAAGGGTGACTTCTACCCTTGGAAGTCTTGCAGGGGACTCTGCGAGATGAATAGTGCCACCGTATTCGCAGGTGTGAGAAGCACAGAGACCATCTCCGGGATGAATGGAGATTTTTAAAAACTGTCTTAAAGTTAAAAACTTATGCATTATTACAAAAGTGAAAAAAAATAAAGAAACATACAGAATAAAAAGCCCTACATTATTGAATTTTTCTATCCTATCCCACTGTGTCCTCTCACCCACTCCACAATTCTAAGCTTTTCCATGGAGACCAGCCTGGAAAACAATCTGATATATAAATTAGCATATATTTAGTATGAACAAATAAGCACATACTTATACGTGCTTTAGTTGCATGGTTGTATATATGTATTTTAATAAAATATGTATATATATATAAATTTGTGATTGTATACATATGTAAAATATAGCTGCCATATAGCTGGTGTGTGTATCTGTGTGTGTATCTATCTGTATACATGCCAATGGATATGAATGCATTGCACAGTATTATATGTACTTAATACTCAATTTTCCTTTCAGTTGCATTTCTCAGGTGTACACGTTTTCCTCTGTGTTAATTTCTTCACTTAATAATGTAACATGGACATCTTTCTGTGCCAGTGACCATGACACATACTTTTTAATGGCAGCAGATGATACTATGGTTTAGATTCAGATAATCATTCTCCACTTTCTTGTTTTTGTTATTTTACAAACATTGCAAAAATGATCATCGATATGCTAGTTTGTACCATTGTATGACAAATGGCATACAATGTTACATGTGCTTTTCAAATGTGAAAATTCAGTGTCCTGGTGAAAGGCATATGCACATTTCTAAGTTGTCATAGAAGAGCCAAAGCCAAAGGGCCCTTCTAAAACAATATCAGTTTTCATTCTGATAAACTTTGTTTGAAGATGCCTGTTTCCCAACAATTTTGCCAATTATATATTTTTTAAAACATGGTTTGCCAATCAGGGATGAAAATTGTATCACAACTTTTAAATTATCATTTCCCTGGTTACTAGCAAGCCTGTGTATCATTTTATCAATCTATTGGTTATCTGTGTACTTTTCTTGGATTGACTAGGTATAATTATTGAACACTCTTTCTTTTCTTTGTCTTTTAAATTCCATATGTATATAAAGAGTTTTATAAGATACTGAGATGCTAATGTAGCGAAATAATCTATTTAGTACATAACACTTTTATTTCTCTAATCCATATATAGTTGCTCCTTTAAGAAATGACAGGTATTTCCCCCAGATGCGCCCCTTCCCACCCCTCCCTGCACCCACCCGGCAGGGTGCCAGTTTTGCTCTCAGCACCAGGGCTCTCCTTAATCCTATGGCTGGGACTATTTTTTGTGTTCCAGGCCCGGGGAGGGGAACATGCCAGGTGGCGGGCGCCCTCCCTAAACAGGTCTTTGATTTCCACGCCTGGGCCCACTGAGGCAATTAAGCTGGATTTGTCTGATGGGGCAGGGGATCAAAGGTTTGATGTTTTGATAACTGAAGAGGAGAAGAGCTCAACTTGAGAAGGCCAAGGAAAAATCCCCCAGGACAGAAGTCCCAGGCCCCTCCGTGGTGGGAACCTGAACCGGAGAGAAAACAGCCTCCCTGACGCGGGCAGACCTTGGGCGGACGTTGGGGCCTGGGAGGACAGAGCCCTCCATGCGGCCAGCGGGGAGCCGGTGCCATGCTTGGCTCAACAGGAGTGAGTCGCAATCACCTGTCCTCACAGCGGGCCACACGGGCCGGAGCCAGGGATGGGCTGCAGCTTCTGCCCCGCTTGGAGACAGTGGGGCCCCTTTCCCAGGACAGTTCATGAATGGCCAACAGCATGGAGAAGACAGGTGCTGGTGGACCCTTGGCGGGGGAGCCCTCTACCTGTTTTGAATCAAACATGGAGAGAGGCTGCGCCGAACAGAGAACTCAGTGGGGACGAGGATGCATCCTGGGGCTGGTGGCTCCCGGTTCCTCTGCTGTCCACGGGGTCTTGGGCCACTCCCCTTCCTGCCTCTGGTTTTCCATCTGTGCACGTGGGGTCAGTGATACGCTGGTCTCACGGCACTGTGCGCGGTTAGCTTTTGTAAAGCACCTATCGAGAGCTCTGTGTTTGCCAGTAACACTGTGATTTTTCATTAAGATGTGTGCAAATGTGTTCCCCATTTTGCAATTTCACTTATGGTGACTGCCGCCATTTAACAGTGTACCAGGAGTAGCAGTTGTGGTGTCACTGGGGATGTCCTCTCTTAGCCTTTTTGTGCTGCTGTAGCAAAGTAGCAGAGACTAGGCAATTTACAAAGAGCAGGAATTGACTTCTCACCCTTCTAGTGCCTGGGAAAGCCAGCTTCAAGTGCCAGTAGCTTCTCCTCCGATGGGGGCTCTCTCTCATCTTCCAAGATGGCTCTTTGAATGCTGGGTCCTCCTGAGGGGGCCAGTCATGTCCTGACAGGGTGGAAGGTGGGAGGGCAGAAGGGCCCAACTCTGCATGGAGCCTCTTTCGTAAGGGTCTCAGCCCCATCGGGAAGGAGCAGCCCCTGTGGCCCAACCATTCCTTCAGGACCTCACCTTTGACACCGTCACACTGGCCATTATATTTCAGCCCCTGAGTTTGGGAGGGGACTCCTTCAAGCCAGAGCGGTGTCTGCACTGTGGTTTGGGGTTTGCATCCTTCAGGGAAGACTCCTCTTCCTCTCCACTCCTGGACAGCCAGGGTTGCCCTTCTCTTTCCACCTCGTCCTTTGGCATTTAGACTTCAGCCTGGCTCCCTGACCTCCTATGATGACATTCTAGACTTCGGGCACCATGTCCAGGCCCGGGGACCCTGTGCCAGGACACACCGTGCTTTCTCCTGTCTTTGGCACTCCACCTGCCTTCTGCCTGAGATTCCACCCTGCACTTCAGCATCACGGTCCCCTGAGCCCCGCATTAGTGAAGTTCACATCTTCTCTGTCACACACCAGGTTGGATTCCTTCCCAGTCCCAGCCGCTGTGATCGCAACAACATCTTTACTTTCCCTCTTGTCCACCTCCCCAGGTAAGGACCAGGAATCCAGGCTGTGTCTGCTTCATTGTCCACTCTGTGGCCAAGAAAAGCCAGCAGGGCCTTGGCAAAACCATGTCCAGGGAATATTTCTAAACGAGTGAACCATCCCATCTGGAATATATTTGGAGACATGTTTCGCAGAAAGCATTTGATTATTTTCCCCAAACAAATGACCAAACACAGTGTCATTCTTTGATAAGAGTGTCATTCTTTCCTCCATTGATGTGAAATCACTCTTGGGACCAATTGGGAACTCTCTTCAGTTTCTGTGCTCCTCGGTTCCTGGGTTAATGCAGCACTGCTAGAAATATAGGCTCTTAATAGCCAAGTTTACGGCATTTGCAGGACAAGCTACCCCTCCTATTACTATTCACTTATATTTTATTCTTTGTCTGTTTATGTACATTTTCTTCTGTGATGGATATTAGTGAAAATCTTGTTGCTTTCCACCTAACATTAAATTAGGGCTTTGGATTGAGGTTGTGTTACTTTTGTAGATTAAATTGCAGGAGACCCACGACTTGACACTATTCATTCTTCTCATGTGCATCTCTATTTAATTCATGTCTCTTTTTAGACTATCTAAAATCTCTAGTATTTTACATTTAAGTCTTGGGCATTTCATGTTGATTTTTATCTCTAAATTTTTAAATGCACTTTTTGATAGTGTGAAGAAGAATTTTTCCCCATGACATTATTTTCTAGTCTATGGTGACTCACAGCCATTTTAATTTTTCACCCTCAACTTTTTGTGAGGCTGTGACTCCGTGACTGGGATAATAGAAATACTAATGATAAATCACAATAACAATCCTTGATCAAATGCGGACTGTTCCTCGTGTGCGGTGGTAGAGAGATGTCACACATACTAGGGTGGTGATGCTCGTGGAGTCCAACCTTGTTGCCTGGGACTTGAGGCTCCTTGCAGGGTCTCCTGTGGGCTCATGCAGCGGCTGCAAATGTACCTGCAGTCACAGTGAGCTCTCCACCCACCGAATCTTCAGCGATCCCTGACTGTCAGAACACCCCTCCTTGGGTTGAGAGAACCTGGCTCCCTCCGATCCCCACTCCCTGGGCCTTCTCTGCAGAGCTGGCTTTTGTTCTGTGGAATCTTTCTCTGTTGGTGTTCAGCTAAATGAGGACAAAAACTGCGTTCCAGCCTAGCAAATTCTCAGCTGGATAAGTGGATGAACTTCCCCAGAGCCAATCTATCCTGCCTCCTCATGGAGCTTTCTCTGAGTCTTGAGATAATTTGTTCTTAGCCTCTTTTGAGCTGGTGGACCAGCCCCATCTGTCAGTGAACTCTTCAGGTGGGTCCTAGAGAAGACCCTTCCTTTGTGAAGTTCCTCTGGGTGTGGTTCAGTTCACC